CCCCCGCCCCTCCATTCACCCATCCCTACCCCTCCATCTTCCCACCCCCGTCCTCCATCCCCCAGTGACCACCCCCTGTCCCTGCGCAGGTGGAGCTGTCGGACGGGACGTCTCACACCATCACCGACGCCTACGCCGGCAAGGAGTACATCATCCAGGTGGCCGCCAAGGACAACGACATCGGCACGTGGAGCGACTGGAGCGTGGCCGCGCACGCCACGCCCTGGATGGAGGAGCCCAAGCACCTCACCACGGAAGCCCAGGCGGCAGGTGAGCGGGCCGGGCAGCCGGGGGCCCAGCAGGGACGATGCAGCAGGGCCCGGGGGTAGGGCCCCACTTCCAGAGCTGCTCTCAGAACCCAGGAGTCCTGGCTCCCAAGTCCCCCTGCTTTGACCACTAGACCCCACTCCCCTCCCAGTGCCAGGAATAGGACCTGTCTTCTAGCCCACCATACGCTCACCTGGTGAAGCTGGCACACTGCATCTTGGGACAGCTGGAGGCCCCAGGCCTCCAGACTGAGTAAAGCACCCAGAAAACCCCAAGGCCCCGTCCTTCCTCCAGCTGGCGGCAGGGTTCAGGACCCAGACACGGGGCCGTGCCCAGCTCCTGGAGCGATTGTTTCAGGCTCTCTGCACACTCAGGCAGCGTCCGGGCACATTCCTGTGCTTTTCTGAGCATCCCCGGAGGATAGAAACACGGGGCTTTGACCAGGCAGCTGAGATTCGGGTCCCTCCTGTGCTCAGGGGCAGGGGCCCTCGGGGTGGGCCCGTAGTGCCGGTGTCTGAGACACTGGAGCGCCTGCCAGAGAGGGGGAGTGCGTGAAAGAAAAGACAAAGCCCAGCGGTGGTGTCAGCGCATGTGACCGGGCTCCCTCCAGGCCAAAAGCCCCCAGCCTCCATCTCAAGTTGTTCTGTCCGTCTCCGATCACCCCTGCCCTCCTCCCAAATGGGCTGCTTAACCTGAACTGCTCTCACCACTTCTCTGTTGAGCAGATGGGTAAACTGAGGCACGGGACGGTGACCGCGCAAGGTTCCAAAGAACCAGCTAGTGGCGGGTGCCCAGTTAGCGGCATTTCCAGCCCCCCAGGTTGCCCCCTCTCCCCAAACTTTGCCAGCTGGCCCTCAGCAACTCACCCCAGGCTACAGCCACGCGGCCCTGAGCCGGAATGCAAACTTTTCCACTCCCTGGGCTGAGCACTAGCTTGTGCATCTCTCTCGTGGGCGCACAACGCACGTGCAAATGACCAGGGCCCTTGCACACGCACCTGTCCACACACAGCTCACTGCTATGACAGGACACAGCTCTGAGGGCTCCTTCTGCATTAGCCTCTGCCTCCGTCTCCTGCCGCGGCGCCTTTGAGTCAAGCCCCAGCGAGGTCTGGGCCCCATAAGTGAGCAGACACAGCCTCTTTCGGGGCCAGGGAGTCGGCTTGTGCTGACTCAGCTCCCCCCAGCGCAGCCTGGGGCTGACGAAGGAGCACTGAGTTTTCACAGGGAGATTATTATGCAGCGGCGCGCTGCCCCGGCCCCCCTGACCCCGCGGAGCCTCGGCGTGACGCCAGCTAGCGAGGAAGGCCCGACGTTAACAGCCCCGTTTCTAGGAAAGAGCTGGGCCCGCGGCCAAGTGCACCGCGGCCTCGGCCTTCGGTTTCCCAGAACAACTGGAGCGGGTCCTGGCGGCGGGGGGGGGGGGGAGGCCGCAACCCTGGCAGGGGGACCCAGGACCGCCTCCGACGGCGCAAAGCCACGGCGCTGCCGGGCCACGGGTGCAAGTCCTGGGGGAGGCTGGCTCCGCGTGCGTGGGCGTGCGGGTGCATGCGTGGATCCTGAGCACTGCTCACGCTGTGTGTGTGTGTGTGTGTGTGTGCGCGCGCGCGCGCAGCCATGCACAGACCCCGAGGGCTGCTCCCTCTGCGACCCAGGACCGCCTCCGACGGCGCAAAGCCACGGCGCTGCCGGGCCACGGGTGCAAGTCCTGGGGGAGGCTGGCTCCGCGTGCGTGGGCGTGCGGGTGCATGCGTGGATCCTGAGCACTGCTCACGCTGTGTGTGTGTGTGTGTGTGTGTGCGCGCGCGCGCGCAGCCATGCACAGACCCCGAGGGCTGCTCCCTCTGCGGGTTACCCCCTGTAGCAGGCTCCGGCACCTGCCTGCATGAAGCCAGAGCTAGAAGTTTGCAACCATTCAGACACATACACAAACGCACCACGCCAACATACACATGCACACACCCAAGTGCTTACACACATGCACACACCCAAGTGCTTACACACATGCACACGCCCCTCTCCCCGCCCTCCGTTGACACACGCCTACTATCCTGCAGGCACACACATGTGCACACACTCTTCTTGCACGCACCCCACCCTTGCACAAGTTTGACTCAGCACCCCGCTGAACAATCCCCCCCCTTGTCCCCGTGGACCCACAGGACTGACCCTGCTGCCCCATGGCACCAATTAGCTCTTAGCGGCAGCAAGAGGAGAGTGCTGGCTCTGATGCAGCCACGCTCTGGAGGGGGGGCCCCGATGGGCCAGAGGGAATTATGGGTGAAGTCCTGCCCGGGGGGGATCTGAGCAAGTCGGCTCCGGCCTGACTCCAGCATAAGGCTGGAGGGGCTATGTGCTGGGAATACAGCCTGGTGTAATGGGCCGGAGTATACAGCGCACAGTCAACCTGTGGAACTCCTTGCCAGAAGATGTTGGGAAGACCGGGACATCAACAGGGTTCCTCAAAGAGCCAGATCATTCATGGAGGTTAGGTCCATCAATGGCTATTAGCCAGGATGGGCAGGGAAGGTGTGCCTGGCCTCTGTTTGTCTGGGAATGGGCGACAGGGGACGGATCACCTGAGGATTCCCTGTTCTGTTCCCTCCCTCTGGGGCACCTGGCGTTGGGCACTGTGGGCAGACAGGACGCTGGGCTGGGCATGGACCCCGGAGGGTTCACGGCCCTGTTCACCCTGGCAGGTGCCGCAGAGGTGGGACTCCTCAGGGGGCCCAAGGGGAGACGCTGTTTGTCTGGGAATGGGCGACAGGGGACGGATCACCTGAGGATTCCCTGTTCTGTTCCCTCCCTCTGGGGCACCTGGCGTTGGGCACTGTGGGCAGACAGGACGCTGGGCTGGGCATGGACCCCGGAGGGTTCACGGCCCTGTTCACCCTGGCAGGTGCCGCAGAGGTGGGACTCCTCAGGGGGCCCAAGGGGAGACGGGCCTGGTCGGATTTCCCCAGGGATGACCCCACCTCACCCCCCCCCCGGGAACTCTCTC